AATTCTAATAAAAAGTAAATAAATGAGAGCAAAAGAAATATATCCGACTTTACGATGATATCAGCTAATGCAGTAAAAAGTGCTTAGACGAGAAAGAAAAAATGATGCCGCCGTCGCCCGCACATTGAAATCGGCTGAATTTGAATTTGCGTGAGCGACACAACATCCCATTTAATGAAATAGACTCGATGAAGCTGAACGGTAGTACCGTTGTATATTGAAAAGAGGTTGTTAGTATGGTACTCCAAAGGAGTAATAACATTGTTGCGGTAGCTGCTTGTGCACGGTTGTGATGTGGTTGCTAGAAGATTTATGCAGATACTGTTCTTTTTTTCGCTGCCGATTTTCTTTCACCATCTACAGGAGATTGGAATGCATAAAAAATGCGGCTTCGATTGCCTAGCAGAAAAAAAATGTACATATTGAAGTTCATGCCGTTCAATATAAACTGGATGAAAACGTATACATAAACCGATTCGATTCGCTTGAGTTTGATCTTTCTCCTTGAGTGTTTGCTGCACTGCACGAGAGAGAGAGAGAGAGAGAGAGAGAGAGTAATAGCAATAGGAAATGGGAATCATAGCAAAGAGAGCAGAAATGTATGCAAATTTACGCTTCACAGCATGCGAATATTCCGAACGATGCAAAATAGCTATCGCCTTTGCAATGCTTCTTGCCTCCGAATAGTGTAGTTCTACTTGATACGCTTTTATGCAATCATGTATGTTTGCGTAAGTGCCGTTCGTAAACGGAATAATATTAATTTGATACGATTTTAAGATGAGGCGCCCGCCGTGCAACCGCTCATTCTGCTCTCCTTGTCGTCGTTGTCGTCTAGTGTTAATTTATTGTTGCATAGTTTGTATACATCTATCAATTTCGGTACTTTTGTGCGCCATTTCAATGAATAATCGCCTTAACGTACAGCAAAATGCATTTTGATTCTGCGCTCAGCAAAAGCCATACAATTTATTTATATAATTTTCAACAGAAAAGTGTCTCGAAATTGGATTGACATGGAAACCCATGCATACAAAATGCGTTACGTCTTTGTTTGGCATTAAATGGTTCACTCTAGTCGTTTTTCTATTTGACACAACAGAAAATACAATTTTCGACATGAATGGCATTTAAAAACCTTTGACAAACTTAATTGTTAATCCTTTCTCCACCCAAAATATGCGGGTGTTGTTTTTCACAGAAACTCTTTTCTCATATTTTGTTTGTCAATGTTATTTGCTTTTATTGCGGATTTTAAAACTGTTTTCTCCCTCACACTTTCGTAAATTGGGCGTCCTGATTGAGATGCTGGTCATTATAGCACATTCAATATATTCAACAGAGAAAAAAAAACGAATCAGGCTAATGGATTAAATTGAGAGCCATTGAATGGCTTTTTTTTGGAAAACGGATTTTTAGATTGATACACCCGTTTCAATTGAGTCCTTTGAGTTCAACCGACACTTTGTGGAATCAATCAATGAGGGAGAAAAATTATTGTAGCGAGCAAAAAAAAAACCATTAAATTGAAATGGATATATCAAAAACACACTTCAATGCACGAAAAAAATGCCTTTGAAAATGAATATTTTGTTTATTCCAATGAAAATGTCAATGTGCTACAATCAAAGTGGCAAATTTTTGGATAATCAAAGCCTGAAGTATCATTAAGCGATTTTTCCTTCTTCTGTCTCATCCTCGAAAACAATCGAGTGAAATTAATTGTGCATTTCGATAATGGAAGTGAATACAATGGGCCCACGCCTCCATTATCTAAATTCGATGCCGTATTTTTTTTTTCGACTGGGAAAAATCCGGGCGACAACAAAAAAAAAAAGCAACTCGAAATGAAATTGTTAAAACCATTTTCAAGACGATTTAGCACGTTCAATCGCACGTATCAATATTGATAGCTCCTTCGTCCGTGAAGCGCTCGATGTGCACAGCATTGTTTCGCTGTTTTGTACGGCGGTTTCGTACTTTTGAGCATTGGCATTTTTACTTTACTTTGAAGATTATGTAGGGTGTTGGATCATATTGCCTTTTAGTATCAGCTCAGCTCACAAAGGCACGAACACAACGAATTGTGCGAATAAAATGGATCCTTAAATGTGTCCAGTGTATATCCGACAGAATCCATTTTAACGGAACGCTGTTTTCGTATTATCCAATTTCATGTTGGGTTCATTTTTCACAAGCACAAATCGCTCTCTGTGTTCACAAGACCATTTGCTCCAGATACACGATGGAAATTCCTTTAAGGCATATATAGCACTTCCAGACACACACACGAAAAAAAATCTCGAAAGATTGACGCGTGATTGAAAAACAAGCATTGTGAAAAAAAATACACTAACATCATATTGGTTATCCCGCTTTGGCGTTTGCCAGTGTATGTGCTAAGCTGCCTAGCCTTCTGTAATATATCGGGTAAGACTCGTCTCGATTGTCTGATATTTTCTTTTAATCGGCAACGTTTTTTTTCTCTCTCTCTCTGCTGCTTCTATTATTCTTTCTCACCTATTGTTTAGCTGCTGCTTTTTCTTTGTTACTGTTGTTTGTAAAAAATATTTACGTGTTTAGTTCGCAGACATGTATGCCATTAGGTATTCTCATTCCCATTCATCACAGAGCACCAACCGAACAATTTTCAGTGCAATATGAACGTTTCGTTTTTATTTCATCACATTTTCGTAGAAAAAAATGCATCGCATAAAGGAATGAGAGAGAGAGAGAGAGAGAGAGAGAGAGAGAGAGAGAGAGAATGCGAGCTAAACACAAGGCTCATGGAAGAATAAATAGAGTAAAATGTAGGCAAACGGAAGAATTAAGAAAACGGCATCGGAATGTGTGCGACGACGAAACATACGCGTGTGAATGTGTATGTTTCGAGCAACACACCATTGAATAACACTCTGTTTTTTTTCTACTTCTCTTTCGGTTTCATTCAATGTTTACCTCTTCAATGGGAACTTTTTTTCGGTGAATAACTTTTTGTTTGAAAAGAACACAATTTTTTCTGAGCTGGTCAATTGTCTGTTTCATTTCAGAATTGTTTAGCTCAAAACAGAAAATTGAGTTTAATCATAATATAGACAGCCTTTATTGATATTGGGAAAGTGAAGAATAAATGATATTAGTGTCGATTTCGGAAAAGTTTAACAATATTTTACCGAGGAAATGAGAAATATCAACAACAAAAAAATACACGAAATTCATTCACGTCTGTCTTTGAAATTGAGAGAATTTGAGACGTTTGTGACAGTTCTATTATAACATTTTGTATAATCTTATCAAATTCAACCGAAACGATGCTGAGAAACATCGCTCGCTGGAACAATTGAATGGAAAAACAGAAAGAAAATGACACTTTTTCTAAATTGCTTCTCCTTCTCACTGCATTCGATCGCCGTTCGATCGATTGTAATGCTCTTTGCATGAACTTCTGTGTGGCATTTATCGTTCTAAATAGATAATTTGGTACTTAAAATCGTTTGACGCAATGAAATAATCATTAGATGGGAAGTGAAGAAAAAAAAAACGAGCGACTCAATCACATGATAGCATTTAAGGATCAAAGAGATCACGAAATAAATTCCATTGCATCGACGCACATTAGAAATACACCATTTTTTTAGTTCTTTCATCGACGAACAGGTATTTCGGCCATTAACAAACATTTATTAATCTTCACACAGCAACAGACTTAGGTGGAACTGAAGAGATGGAAAAAAAAATCATCAACGAATTAAGCGATCTAAAATATAAATGTTCAGAAGTTGGAAAAAAAACCAATTAAGTATGCGTTGGTCTGTATTTCCGCCACTAATTGGCCGCACTGTTTTTGTTCACTCATTCGATATTTTTTTTTTCGGTTTTTGTTTTGTTTCATTCATCCGAAATGCATATTTCGGATATAAGTTTTATTTAGTTGTTGAATGCCATAATGTGAACGTAGTTTTTTCAAGACTTATAGACATCTGTTGTTATCGTCTTAACAAAAGAACCATTTTCAACCGAAAAACAAAAACTATTTTCGGAGGGCAAGAAAGAGACAGAGCGAGAATGAAAAAAAAATGAATTGATCAAAGCAAAACACGGAACAGAATTCTTTTTATTGGTTATGTGCGACACAGCGAAAAAAAAAGCAGCGACGACAATGATGAAAACACAACACACACAGAAGGGAAATAAAGCTGAAAGGAACCAAAAGACATTCAACGAAATATAAACCATCATTATTAGCTTCATTAATAGGTAATTTACAACGACAAGTAGTCATTGTCTTGGCCACAAGGTTTTTTTCGTTCGTCAACGCTGTCATGCGGCTTTTGTTTCAACCGAAATGTGTGAGTGGCATGCACTTACATTGAATGCACAACGCGAGAGAGGGAGAGAGAGAGAGAGAGAGAGAGAGAGAGTGAGACCGCATTGAATGTTATCGATGGATGTAAAAGGCCTGCAGAGGAAATCGGGTGCCACGGGTTTGTATGCATTTGTGTGCTGCAGCCGGTGAATATTTCATGTGCGCGCACATTGGACTTGCAGGTAAAAAGCATTTCAAATTGTGGAAGGTAATCGAATAGAGTATAAGGCTAAGCGCCTAGGCTATACTGGTCACCTGACTAAATTTTACGATGGATAATTTCTATGTCTATGTGTTTTTTTTCCTTTTGGGAGCCAACGGTAGCGGATGCATCGATTCAAATAAATTACAAAATCAATTCGACACACTGCTATCATTAATCGAGGGCATTTTCAATGGATTCCATTTAGGCATTTAGCCGCAATGATGGTGAAAATGGGGTGCAAAAGAGAACCTGACAAGTAAATGACCGCCAGTCCATACATAAAATGTCGATAATATTTCTCTCTCGTGTTCAGGTTGCGAGAGAGGTAGCAGCAAAGAAAAAACTGCATAGAAAAGCCGCAAAAGGTAAAAAGGTCAAAACATTTCGGATTATTGTTTTGCCATTGAAAATAGAGAAATTCGTACGTACCGGTGTTGAGTATGGATGTGCCGTTAATCGTATTCCATCTGCGTTCAATTGTTCGATGATCAGTGCATCTAATCCATTCAGCTGCGGACTGTCGCGTCCACTTAAATATTCTGAACTACCCGCTAACGCAGTTATATCACTATTGAGCATAAAATAAACACTGGCTGCACCTTTTTCACGTAATTGACGTACACTTTTCAGTAATTTGTGGCGATGCTGTGGATTGATGACGCCAATCGCATCTAAATCGGGATCGCCAACCTGCTTGCATATTTCCAAATCATCATAACCGTTATCGAGAAAACTTTCGGCATACTGTGCCAAACCAAGTGCTCGCAACCACTCGCACACAATATTGCTGGTGGCCATATTTTAATTGCACTTTTCTCTCGCTGGTTTTTCTCGTTATCGTGGCGAGCGTGCGCGTTATCACGCTCTCTCGCTCTCTCGCTCTCTCGCTCGCTGCAACTTGACGCACTGGTGAATGTAGTTGATAGAGCTCAAGCTAGACTAGTGGTCGTGCTTGGTGCTCGATGCTTTTTATATTCGTTTGTTGAAATTTTTTCTTCTCTTCTCGACTCTCTCCCGCTGCCGTGTGATCCTTTTAGCGACCAAATTGTTTCTTACGTGCCACACTCTCGTTCAGGCAACGATGCACATTTACCATGGTCTTGCATTCGGTTACGTTGCTTTCGATATGGGCTTCATTCGTTATGTGAACTGGTGTAACCGCTTTGCGTATACCGTTCTCGAGATTAGTGAATAATTTTGTTTTTCGTTCGCTTCTTTTTTTCTCGTTCCGTCGATTTGGTAAATTAGGTTATTTTTATTTTTGCGATTTTCGCTTGGTTCCAAGTTATGGTGAAGTTGTTTTTTCCCTCCGGTCGTCTTCTGATGCGTTTTTTCTTTAATTTTCGGTGCTTCGGCACTCGCGCTCGAACTCAATTGTTCGCTGTCTCACTCTTTGCATAGGCTTACATGAATATTTGTTTTTCGGTTTCCCTTCTCATTACGTGCTGCTTTTGTTTGAGTTGGTACTGCTTTTTTTCTTCTCTTCTTGACGCAATTTCAAGTTGTGCTGGCTCTTTTTTTTTTATTTAAATTGAGTTTTTTTTTGCATTTCTTCTTTCTTGAGCGAAATTTTACTCCTGCCGCTTTTCGTCGTGTGGTTTATTTTTCGTTTCTTCTTTTGTTTCGCTCCTCGACTGTGTGTTCGTCCCGGCTTTTTCTTATCGCGCGTTCGACTCGGTGTTTTATTTTAATAATATGTAATTAAATATTTTGTTGGAATTATTCGTTGTAGTCATTTTAATTTCTTTATGAATTTTTGAAACCATCAGATGAATAATAAACTGAGATACACAACGGGTCCGAAGTGAAGAGGCGCAACGGACGACCGACTGAATAAACGGGAAAAAAAATTGCGGAAGAAATACTTGTTCATTTACTCCTAACGCGTTTTTTTGTGTATGCCGCTTAGCTTAGCACCCCGCATCCAGTATATAGCAGATGTCTGAAAAAGAGAGAGAGAAAAAAGAATGAACATTATGAGTTTCAGTCGTTTTAAAAACAGCAGAAAAAAAATGTTGATCAAAATTCATATCGAAAAATGATGATGGACGTTGAAGCGTGAAGAATTTGACTAATTTTACAAAGTGAAAGTTACATATTCATGAGATCATTATCGATTTGATGAAAATTATCCTCTCTTGTTCTCCGCTCGTCTTGAGCAGAAGAAAAGTTTTCCCAATTTTTTTCCAACAGAAAATTGGCGGCTAACAATACACCGAACAAAGAAAGAAACAAATTTGAAAGCCGATAACAGCAAGAGCCAACATGTATCTCGCCTGCAGCGCACAATCATAATACAACACACAAACTCTCCCCTGTGTTTTTAAAGTTCAAAATTGAAGAAGAAGAAAAAAATATATGTATAATAAGAAAACAACTGAACTAAACACAATTTGAGAGAAATCCTTTGGGATAGCATTGCCTTTTTTATGTTAGGTCGTCATTTTGGCGTTGTCGTTGTCGCACAAGAAATGATCAAAATGTCACTTGAATGTTACATAATTGGAGTAAAAACTCATGTTGTTGACATGCCATAACGTAGTCATTCTCGCTTTATTGCTGCTTCGTGTTTGTATGCCCGATATTTATTGCTGCGAAGAAGTCTTGCAGCAGCAGCAGCATCTCAGCGCAAAAGTGACGTGAAAATATGCTCTGGTTTTCTTCGGTTGCCATTATGACAGATTCGATTAATGTTCAACGATGCCTAATTAGGTATGTGTTCAATACAACGACGCGAAACAGCACGAAAAAAAAAATTGTTCCGAACGAACGTCAGAACATAGGGAAATTAATGGCACATTTGTACACAGACACACACACACACAGAAAAAATCAAAGCACATCAACGGCAATATCTCGTGAAATGTTTCGGGCGCCTTGTTTGGTTTCGTGCATCGTATCTCGCTTTTCGGATGAGATGGATGGATGGAATGCACAATATTTTTTTGTCGGACATTCGCTTTCAAAATTAAATTAACTGTTTTATATTTCAGAAAAATAAAATAAATTACGTGTCAGCCAAAAAGAATGATCGAATTTATCATGATGGGCCAACAGCGGCCATATATGAAGCTTGAAATTGCTGTGTTTGAAAGTTGAGAGAATCATATTTTGTTCGGTCGTGGACGGCAACATATTTGTATTTACTTTTTTATCTTTTTGCTCCCAGCAAAATAGAATACGTTTAATATTCTTTTTATCGCTTTGGTGCGCCAAATGAGGGGGAATATCATGTTATATTTTAATGTAATTTTCCCGAAACGAAATTTCGTCAATCAAAGCAGTACAATTTGCAAAAGTAGCTCAACTTCCCGAAAAAAATTATTCATTTATTATTGGAATTCATTGGAAAATTCACTCCCATAATGGGCGAACTGCAGTATCGATTTGCATATTATTTATTCATTATTTGTTGTCAAAACTTGCCAGCGCTTAGAGCTGTAGTGTTGCTAAAGCGCAACAGAAAATAATATGCCAATGTAATAGCAGCAGTGCTGAAGGGGCTCATTGTTCTGGATCACTAATAGCACATTACAATGACGGAAACATCAGTTTGTGATAGTAGTATGTGACCTGCTTTCATCGATTCGGGGAGTGCACGATTTTTTATGCCGAGTACATCGACCGGCATTGTGTATATTGGTTTGAGATACTGCCGCGCACGTTCGATATCAATTTCTTTTTTGTTTCGTTCGTTCGCATTTTTTTTTTTCATAATAATTCGTCGAAATGTATTTTGCATGAACTCCGGAGCTCATAATCACATATTTTTCCCTTCAGTGTGTGGATCATTGTTCGAGCGCGTTTTGTCGTTGATATTCAAAATCAGAGCAACAACAAAAAGAATGCGTAATTCGTTCGATGTGATGTACACATGAGTAGAAAGAACGTATGGAAGAATTGAAAAAAAAGAAAAATTGAATATTAAAAAGTATGAGCAAATAAAACACGATGCGATATACCAGTTTTTTTTCTCTCTCGTCGCGATTATGGCATTACTGCATTCATCGAGTCGATAATTTTTGACGAGAGAATATTGATTCAATGTAGCCGCAGAAAAAAAATGCATATACACACACAAATAAAACATACAACATTATCGCAATCTTTATGTATTCACAGTGAGAGACGCTTATCGAATGAGTTTCAACATGGAATGAATGCTGTTTAATTCATATTCTCGTTTTAATTTTTGTTCGTGCAGATTTTTCTCACAGGCAAAATGAGTTCATAAATAAATGATTGCAATTAGTTGTGAGTTCTAATTATCGATGTTTTAAACAACAAAATTATCTCCGACCAACCGCAAAACTGAGTAAACCCAAAACTGAAGACAAATTGTGAACTGGAAAACCGAAAAACAGAGAAATATCTGGAAACGAGCAACAGATTGCGATGCATCATAATGTTGAAACAGTCGAAAAAAAAAAATGAACGACAGAGAAGAGAGCCGAAGACAATTTAAGGGCATGTGCTCATGAGCAAAGAGCACAGAAAAAAAATCGACTGCAGCTAACGAGAGAAACAGCAACAGAGAAAAAAAAACACTGCACATCAATTCAGAGAGCGCATTGCATTGCACGAATTTGGTAAGAAATGCACAGAGACCACCGGCGAATCAAGTCAAGTTAACCGTATTACCGCTAAAACACAAAGGTAATGGAATCGCTCAGCTAAAATCATGCTGGAAATTATATGGGCTGGCGCATCTGATGCCGAAAAGAACTGACTTCGGCGTGCACTGCACATTCACGACCAAACCACCATTCCAACAGTTATGAAGCTGCACGTAAAACGGCATCTGCTTTGGATGTGATGATTTTTGTGGTTCCACATACATGCACTGAGCACGAAAAATGCACCTCAAAGTGAAATCAAACAAGAGAGCGCTTTAAGAATTTTTGCCATGGTTTTTGGAAGATGAGTTTTTTTTGTTCAGGACAATTTTACGTAACTTGAATGTTTCTGAAATGATTTCATCAGTTCGTTGAGCCGAGATAGCATTATAAGTAGATTTGGATTTTTTTTGCCAGCCGAATTAAGTGTTTTGCAGCAAATTGTTTTCATAATGCTCTAGTTTTGTTGCAAAATACGGTTTTCGGTCTGAGGTTTTTCCACCATCATCATCATCATCGTCTCTATGGCAAGCCACGAATTATTGTGTCTTCGTCCGGATTTTTATTTCACATTTAATTTTTTTTTCCGTTCATTCTTTCTCCTTGGCCCAAGAGTTTCTCTGCACTAACACTTGTCTCTTATTCCTTTTTAATGCCTTTCTTCGTTCGCACCTGTTTCGCACATGAAAAAAAACGGAATTGTACTTCAAAACGGCAAAAATACTCTCCCTTCATTTGAACGTGCTCTTTTCGGAACTCAAAAAAACACGCACGGTAAAAAAATTCAATTGAGATAATAATTTTTAATGAACAATTTGGCTGCTGTTTTTTTCTTCTTCTCATGTAGACAACATTTATGACTGAAAAGTGGTCTTATTTAATAAAGTTATTTGATAAGTAAATTGTCGATTTTTTTTCTTGTTTTCTTATGAATTGCACCTGGAATATCGAGTATGAAAAAAGAAACGGTTTCTTATATTCCGCTCCATCATTAGTTGCATGAAATGGCCAATGTTTGTCTTTTTTATTGCTTCTGTTTGTGCAGAAATGAATGGACTGATATAGGTTTTTCGTCGTTTTTTCGTGTGTAGTTTTTTTTTCGGTGAAAGAAATTCGATGAATAAAACGTAAACATCATTCGGTAATAAATCACCAATTTATTAATGGCAATAAAAATAGTTGGAATAAACAGTCAATAACGATTGATTGTGAAATGGCCGCTTCATTAAATTGAACATCATAAAAATGTTGATGAACAAATTCTCCCAAAGTTGATGCATTGAATTGGCAATCTTCGTTTGGTTTGAACGATCAATTATGGTCATTAGCCTCATTAAACGTAATAAATGTTTAGCAGATTTACTGGTTTTTAGTTTTTCAATCGAAATTTACAATTGCATACCGAAAACCATTCGCATGAATTTCTCAGCAAAATTTTATTGCTGTCCGCTGATGGGAAAGGAAAAACAAAATCGAGCAAAACGAAAACCATTGCCGTTTGAATGGGAAATAAAAACAAGCGACACAACGACGTGATTTCATACAACAGCTTAAAATGCCGTTGACATCGACTTCTTCAGAAGCCAAAAGGTGATATTAAATTCAATGACATTCTTGAAATCTCACTGCTGTTGCTGCTGCTGCAGTTGTCGGCGTACATGATACTTCAAATGGGCAGGATACACGTCGATATTGATAGGTACCAAACGACCGACTGTTTGTCTTTTTCTTGTTGTTATTTTATTTTCGCTCTTTTGCTTTTATTTAACGCTTGACATTCCAACAACCAACGAATGCATCGCAATGGATCCATGTGTTTTGCTAGCAAAAATTCTCTCAATACAAATCGAAAACGATAAATAAAAATAAATCGCTTTTTTAATGTTTATAAACTAATATTATTCTTTCCGTTTACAATATACGATATCGTTCTTTTGAAAACGCATTCGTACGTACGTTCTTTCGTTCAATTACAAATGCGTTTCTGGTTGCAGGATCAAGACTGGGTTTTCTTTTTTTTTCTCTTTTATTTTCACTCAAGCAAAAGATTCATACGTATTTAATATGATGCGAATGCATGTAGATGTTGTAGTTCCGGCGCTTTTTGGCTCGCCTAGCTTACACGAATACGCGTGACGAGGAGTTTACGTTTCTACACCTCTTATCGAATCGAATTACTTCTTGTTCTTCGTTTCGATCAAAAAAAAGTAGTTGCGATTCGGCAAGCATTCAAGTCTCCACTTCACAGCACAGTTAGCGCGTTCAGCACACACACACACCGCCACCGAATCCAATAGAAGTGTAATAAAAGTTTGTAAAACGGATT